CCACGAACAAGTTCCAGGTGGGAGGCTTTACAGGCTCCATTGTTTCCTCCATCAATGAGGCATGGGAAAATTTGGCTACAAAATCAGTTAAGACTTGGCCTTGATGGCGGCTCTATTGTTGAAGTAGATGTCAAATTCACTGAGCTCTACTGCCCACTTTAACAACCTTCCCGAAGAATTAGGTTTCTGAAGCACCTGCCTGAGAAGGAAGTTGGTCAATACGTTTATTGTGTGGGCTTGAAAGTAGGGCCTTAATTTTCTAGAAGCCGTGGTCAAGGCCAGGCTAACTTCTCCATATCGGGATGACGAGTTTTCGGAGCCAGTAGCATCTTGCTGATGTAGTAGACAAGTAGCTGAGCAGTTTCCTCCTCTTTGATTAGGACGGCAAGCCCTCATTGGAGAGGGCCAAGTAAAGTTGTAGGGCTTCTCCGGGCTTAGGTTTCGAGATGAAAGAAGCTTGCCCTAGGTACATTTTCAAGTTTTGGATGGCCTCTTCACACTCATTTGTCCATTGGAACTTCTTTGCCCTTTCGGAACCTTAAAGAATGTGAGGCATTTGTCAGTGGCCATCGAAATAAAGAGACTTAATGTAGCCATATGACAAGTTAGGCTTGGACCTTCTTAAGCTTTTGGGGAGACTTTATCTCAATCAGAGCACAAATTTTCTCGGGATTTGCTTCAATACCTCTTCGGTTGACATGTATTCCAAAAATTTACCGAACGTGCACTTGAGGGAGTTCAACCTCATCCTATACCTCCTTAAAATTTGAAATGTCTCGTTTAGGTGAGCTATGTGATCATCTGCTTTGAGACTCTTGATGAGCATGTCATCTACATAGACCTTTATTGTTTTCCCGATGAAGTCGACGAACATCTTGTTAACAAGCCTCTAGTAGATGGTTCCAGCCATTTGGGCTAGCATTTTTTTAGCTTGAATGACATCATTTTATAGCTATAAAGACCTATATCGGTGATGAAAGAAGTGCTTTCCTCATCGATCGGGTACATAGGAATTTGATTATAGCTTGAGTAGGCATCCATGAAGCTTATTAATTCATATCCGGCCATGTAGTCCACCAATTGATCTATCCGTGGTAGGGAAAGCTATCCTTGAGACACGCCTTGTTGAGATCAAATAAGTCAATGCACACCCTCCACTTTTCATTGTACTTCTTTACTAGCACCGAGTTAGAGATCCACTTTGGGCATATAGCCTCTCAGATGAAGCCATTTCTGATTAATTTTTATGCTTCTTCCTACATGGCCTCATACCTTTCCAAATTGAGAGCTCTTATTTTTTTGTCTATGCGGGGCAGCCTTGGGATCAATTTTTAAATGATGGTAGTTGACCTTGGGATCAATGCGCACCATATCCTCGTGCCATGTAAAGATGTCAAGGTTCCTATGTAGGAAGGTCCTTGAGCCTCTCTTTGACTTTCGAGGACAACCTTTTTCCACCTGCAATAACTTTGTGAGATCCAAAGGATCTACTGGGAAGCTTTCCAACTCCTCCACTGGGGCCATTTAAGGCTCGGATTCAATCGCATGGGGGTCTAGTTCATTGAGAACGACCACTTCCTCAGGGACGTCCAGTATCTCGAAGTCCTGTTGCCGAGGGCCTTGCTTGTGGGGTCGTCTATCATCTCCATGTCAACTATCACCACATTGACATCCCTGGGCTCTACCTTTCTGATTGAGTTCAAATAGCACTCTCGGGCCCCTCTTTATCTCTCCTAATCGTTGCTATACCTTGCTCAGTCGGGAATTTCATACAAAGATATTGAATTTATGTAACAGCTCCCAAGTCCTTCAGGGCTAGCCTACCTAGAACTCTATGATAGGTTGACCTGCTATCCACAATCAAGTGTTATTTTCCTATCTCAACCGTAAGTGTTATTTTTCTGTAAGCGTGATGATATCTCTAGTGAAGCCATAGAGGGGGGTGGTAACGGGAGTGAGTCCATGATCCAAAATCATTTTGTCAAATGTGGCTCCAAAGAGAATGTTGACAAAGCTGCCATTATCCACTAACATTTGTTTTAGCCCATTTCGGGCCACTATGGCCCTTACAACTAAGGCATTACAGTGCCAAAAGTAGATACCTTCTGCATTTTCCTTAGTAAATACAATTGGTGGTACTTGGCTTTTTTGGGGGTTGCCATCCACTATGTAGCTAGTAAGTGGGGAGCCTTTAGCCTCTCAGGTGTAGTTTTTTTACGCATTATATTCATAACGAAAACAAATTTGATCACAAATAGTCACATAAAACACAGGTATAGTTACGAACAATAATCTGGTCACAGATAAATATTTGGAGATTTTTCTACAGTGAAGTATGGGAAGAGATTGTTTTCAATTTTTGGAGATTTTTTTATTGCAGATGTCGGAGCAATAGTCGAAGTGGTCACTAAAGAGGACATCAGAGTAGTCGTGAGAGTCTATGGCCGCCTCCAATAGGAAGAATGGATAGGGAGAGGATAGAGAAGAAAGAGAGAATGAAAGGGCTTGGATTCGAAATTTGGTGTGATTAATTATATTATATTATAATTAAAAATTTAATAAATTGATTTATCACCTGATTTTTAAAAAGTTTTATGGAGTTTGTTAGTTTTCAAATGTATTTATTATATATAGGATTATGCATTGTTCCCTTTACCAAATAGAATTCGAATAGGATTCCAAATAATATTTCAAAGGGAAAATTGCAACAGCGATTCTGAACCTTTAATTGTTTTGCAAAATTTACCCTAATCTTCATTTTATGTCACCCACAGTCTCAAACCTTTCAAAAATATCCACCTGTGGTCCAAATAGATGGAAAAACATCCATTGGACCGCTAGTTGACCTAGAATGTGTAAAAATTAGATATTTTAACCATTTTAAGTAGAGCGTTTTCGTCAATCTCATAATAACTATATATTTTTCAATAAAAAAATACATTATAAAGTAAGGGACAACTAAATCAAAAGCAAAAATAAAAATCGAGTCACTATTTATCCACCCCCACCCACCATCCCCATCTCATTAATTCCAAACTCAACCCCCAATTCGCCATCATAGTGATAATTACATGCTCTTTAACATCGAAAGGCCTCGGGTTGAGGCTGAAGCTCCACCATTTAGTGATACCCACGCACCAAAAATGGTCGGAATCCTTATCTCCGACGAAACCCATGCAAGCCCACCTTCCAAGTCGACTAAGCACCTCAATACCCACCTATTGATACCCTTGTAACATCAAACAAAGCTGTAAAATCCAAATCTACAATCAATTCGTCAAGCCCAAAAATTCGAACCTCTCAACGTCAAATTCGGTGTTGACGGTGCAACCCATGATTGCGGACCACCTATCCTAGGCCCGCCTCATCAAGGTGCATCTACTGGTAACATGGGTTTTGGTTTTGGTTTGTAGCTGTGGCTGTGGTTGTGGTTTGATGGTAGTGACAATGATTGGTTTTGATTTGATGGTGATGGTAGTTGTGGTGACGACAATGAGTTTTCTGATTTTGGGTTCGATTTTGGTATTAGGGTAGGGTGGGGTGGGGGATAGGGTGAAGAAGATAAGTTTGATTTTTTTTTTTTTTTGTTTTTTGTTTTTGATTTAGTTATTCCTTATTTTATAAATATATTTTTATCGAAAAATATAAGTTATTATGAGATTGACGAAAATGCCCCTACTTAAAACGGTCAAAATATCAAATTCTTACATATTCTAGGCCAACGAATGGTCAAATGAATGATTTTTATCCATTTGGATCTCAGATGCATATTCTTTAAAAGTTTGGGAACTATGGATGGCACAAAATGAAAGTTAAGGTAAAGTTTGCAAAAATGTGAAAGGTTAGGAGCCGCTACTTCAATTTTTCCTATTTCAAATAAAATTCAGGCCACACTTTAATTTTAACATGATTTTTTAAAAGAACATGGGATTCTTAAAAGAAAAATTTCATGTGTAGTCAAAAAATCCTAAACTCTAATCATATTTCCCATCATCACTGTTTCTAAAAATGTCACAAAAAGCTCTAACGAGAGGCTAGCTGAAAGGAATTGTAAGGTTTAATAGCTATTATGCCAAATATAAAGTTATTTATATTAATAAAGTGATAATTATATAATATTTCCTCCGTCTCACAAAAATAAATTTGTTTTCATTCTCGCATAGATTAAGAAAATACAATTAATGTAGTTGAAAAAAAAATTCTTATATTTTTCATAATGTACTTCTACATTAAATAACGATATAAATATGAATAATTAATAACAAGGCACATTTAATATGGATATATTAAAAACTAAACAAATATCTATATCTCAATAAGAAGAGTGACACATAATTTAGGACAGACGAAAAAAAAAAGTATGAGTAGTAGTATTACTCGTGTTCTCAAGCGAGGTATTATTTTTGTCCCATTCCACATTTTTTCTTTTTGGTACACATTCTACTACAAGTTTCTTTCGCGAATGCTTGGTAGTACCAAATCCCATCAATTGAATCACCATTTCTTTAGATGAAAAAGTAAGAATATTATTTAACATGAATCACAAAAGAACGATGCTTGGTGGACTGAGTTTTCTTGCCAGAATCCATACAAGGGGGATTTGTTGCCTTGTCATTAAGCAATGGCCAAAAAAAATAAGGGCGACGTATAGCCCAGCACATTACAGGTTTTCACAAAGGGGTGGGGTCGGGAATATTTTTTTCATTTTTCATTATATCAGGGCTCACGTGAGACCAATCCATGTGAAGGGTCAATAAAACCTCTGTAAAAAAAAAAAAAAAAAAGGCTTTTGAACATTCAAAAAATAATAATAATAAAAATAAAAGTTTTACCACCCCGAAGTGGTGCGAAAGCGACACCCATAAAGAATATGACAAGAAAACTCCTATATGCTTTTTCCATCACTAGATATTTGAAATTGTATTCAATTTTTGTTCTAACTTTGACGTGTCATCTCGTTAAAATTTGTAAGTCATTAACCAACAGTTTTCTGCCACCAGACATTATACGTGTTTCATGTTTCCTTCCTTACTTTTACAACTGACCTACTTTCGTGACTAATATAATCCCAACCATTTCCCATTCAAACTACTTGGTTTCTTGGTTCGTATTTTCTCAATCAAATCTGAAGCCATGGATACTTCAAAGGTAAAAACATTCGAGCTAATCTACAGAAATACTTTTTTTAATTTATCTGTTATGGTTATATATTGCTATGCTGTAGGGTAGTGAAAGAATAAACGATGAAGGGGATGTGGAGATTAAGGTAGAAACTGTGGACCACCGGTCGCCGGCGGGCGAAAAGAGTGAACCCAAGGATGAGAAGGTGGAGATAACTCATGTATTTCCGTCAGATGACAAGCCCGGAACTCATAAAGTTGTCGGTGAAGCTGTTGGCAAGGTGGTCGAAAATGTCCAGTCGGCAAAGGAAGCAATGTCTAAGACCCAAAAAACTGAGTAATATACGAGAAAAATTTCACACTCAGCCATGAAAATCTCAAATTTTTATGGTTAAAGTGAAATTTCCATGTACAGAAGTTTTCATCCTGAGAAATTGTCCTTTTGGTATTATTATATAATTTTTGTCTTTTGTTTTTGTTTGTGTGAACTTTGATACCATCTTGTGGTTTTAGCTAATCTAGATTGATGATGTTCATCATCTTTTAATAAATATTTAAAACCTGTACTGTTTATTTGTTTTACAAATTGCAGAGTATTTTGTTTTTTCTTGTTTGAAATTTTTTTCTCTGCGTGATATTTCTAAGTTTAATAAGAACATTAAATCACTCCCAATTGAAAATGAGTTTAGGAAGAAGAAAATTCTAAAAATGGCAATTTTCTCTTGACTTGTTATCAACATAGAAGGAAATGTAATTCAGGAGTGTTCTGTTCTAACATTCTGCCATGCCACATCCCACATGATAGAATTTGCTTCTTCTTACTCGGTGCTTAAAGGCCTGAATTTTCTCATATGAAAGCACCATAGCCTTGATGTGGTGTTTGTACTCGAAGAACATTATTAGAATGTGCAGTATGATCCTCTAAGCAATAATAAATTATCATTTTAATCGCCTGCGAAGTAAAACATGAATATATTTGGTCCCGCTAATTTCGAAGTATGGATCCCACCAAAATTTGAGCTATAATTTGCTCAAGTTCACTAAAAATTAAACCATTTACAAAAGGTACTGCTTGTTGATCTCACGGTAACACACACACACCTGGTTTCCCAAAGTTCAAACTCCCTTTGTCGACAGGGTTAGTGATGCTGATGATTGAGAAAGGCATCCCACTACAGAAGAAGCACTACTAGTTTCTTTCTCGGGGCAAAATCTGTTTCATGGTTTTTCTAAGAAACCAACCACAGTTTTCCCAACTCAATTATATCGGTTGGCTGAGCTCACTTGGTTGAGGTTTCCTCAACTCTTATGTGACAACATGAGTACACCGTGCACTTCACGTGTCCAATCCACTGTTCCATTCTTGTCCTAAACAGAGCTTTGGGCAAACGTTGCCATCATCCTCTATTTAACAAGCTTATGTCCTTACCTAAAGCTGCTTTTCAAGCATTTCGGGACAAACTGTGCATGTTGTAGCAAATAATCACGAAGAGTAATTCTACTAATCACGAAGAAGATAATAGCAATAATCCCAGAAAGAATAATTAAAAGGCAAGATTTGGAGAGTTGCAACATGAGCAGAATTGCAAGGGAAGGCAATCGAAGACTGATTACTTATTCTTTGTATAGTCTGATTGTAAATGATAAAATGTGTTTGTAGCAACTCTTGACTCAATGGAAACATACGCTTCTTCTCTTCTTAAAGGTTCACCAATGACACACACCCTTGATTTTTCAGAGACGAAGACTGAAGTTAAGGATTTCAACTTGAACATATAAATCCAGTGTTTGTTATCCCTAACCTCTATCATGATCTAAATGATGTCTTCCACAAGTTATTTGGCATGTAATTCGACATTTCACGACAATTGTCTTGTACTATTATTCTGGAAAGCCAAAGTCCATCAAAATCCCAGACAAAGAACCCATAAACCTCGACTTCATGGACTCGCTTGAATAATGCTAAACAGTGTGGGCTATTGTTACTTCTAACAAGGTATCCACAATATATTCAGCCTCAAAAATTGGGAAAATGCATCCACCAGCAATGATCTACTTAGTCAACACTCAACAGCAGCCATGCCATAGCAATAAGTTTCTTCAGGGAAGTAAATCGTACTCAAGCATAAAATTGGGAAAAAAAAAAAAAAAAAAAGGAAAAAAGGAAAAATCTTTACATTTAGATGGTACCTGTCCATCTTGAAAATCATTTAAGCTCTCGCCAGTGCAAAAGTCATGGTTAAAACTTCAATGTAATTATTAGGAGAAGCTGTCTTAAAGAATTCATCCACTACTATGTTTAAAATGCTCTTTTATAAATCTTTCCCCATAAGAAGGGTACTCATCCTGAATGTGGGCTCGAAGACACTTCTGGTAAGAGAAGTCTATCCATCCACCATCCGTTCTTACAACAAAGAGGCACCTTGAACATTTGAATTGAGGATGTCGATCAACCTTCAAACCGAGAAATTGAACAGCTTTTAAGTCACGGTATCTCATAATAGAATAACCAGTTGGCTTTCCTAGATAATTTTGAATCAGCTTCATAATGTTATTCTCAATTGCCACAATTATGATCATTAAACAGTCATTAAATATTACGATAAATCCACCAATTATTTGCCCTTTGAACATAATAGCAGCTAAAATCATCAGGTAAAAGGACACGCTAAGAAAGTTACATCTAGATGTCTACTAAATGCTCACAGGTTTGGGTGCCAGGTCACCTAAGAGATAGGCCATCTAAAGAAGGCTGCTCTCCGACAAGCCCACAAGACAGCCTTAACTACCATAATTATAACAGAGAAAAAGGAAAATTAATAGTTGTATGAATATAATAAAAGAAAGAGAACTTGATCCTAATTTCGTAGTGATGTCTTTCACCTGTCCATGCTGATGCGGACATCCTTTGTTGGGCCATTTGTTTAGGACATTTATTTATGTTTTGTGTTTTATTGGACTTGTATATGGATTTGGCCCAAGCCCCTTGACTATTAGGTTTGTATTTTGTTATTTATATAGTTGTAATGGGAATTGCAAAACGGTTGATGAATGACATTAATCACATTTGCCAAATTGCCCACTCTCTCACCCGTCTTCCCTCTTCTCCCTCTTTCTTCTCTAACGTGCTCCCTCTCTTCCTACTCTCTTCCTCTCCCTCTTGCTGTGATTCTGTTATTTGATTCTACATCAAACCTGTATCAGAGTTATTTCTACTATTTTCTCAAACTATAGAGTAATCTGGGGACTTCACAGTGTTTATTGCTTCTGCAGCCGTAAATTTATTCCAGTCAAGAGATCATGAAATTATGCAGTTAACAATCAGCATCTAACACAGCTCCAGTCATACCACCAAGCAACCTATACAACCGTTTCTTCTTTGTGCCACCAAGCAGCAACCACTGGCACCCAACAAGCCAAACCTCCAACCCATTACAAACTATACAGTAACCTCCTGTAACTTCTAATTAACCGATACCTTTTAATAAGGCACACATAAATCACCCACCATGGACCCTTTCCAATTTGATGCACTCACCCGACATTAGCTCAACATACCACTAGAGTCTTTACTCAATGAATCAGGGGCATGGATCATTTCTTGGTGTGGTATGGAGTCCCAATGGATCAGAGAGTTTAATTTGCGAGTCTGATATTAACCAGCACTGCCCAATTCTTTTGGGAAAGTGTTGAAGATCTTCTTCAGAGGCATCGTGCACCTCCTGTTGGAAATTGAGAAGAAATGAAGCATTGAATCCAAGAGAATTACTTACTCCAATCTTACAAGGGTAATTTGTTGGACCATTGGAATGCCTTTACACAGAGAAATCGTCCAATGACTCTGTTACTCAATTTGATGAAAATGCGATGTGGCATCTTTGAAAATGAAGATATGACTCCGAGTAGGTTCAAGTAGTGCCCAAGAGATGATTTTAGACATAAGCTTGTCTTTCGAGGTATCACCATTCTCAATCACATTCTTTAGTTTGAGATTACGAGTTGATTACTAAGACTCCGAGCGTAGTGACAATCATTAGCGCCACCCCCTCCTGTTAAATCCCTTTTAGGGCCTCCCCCATCTAATGCTCCACTTATGTTGGAAAATAAAGATAAAGCTCCTAAAATGCTAAGGCTTTCTTCTCACTTGCAGTACTTCAACTGTAAAGGCTTCAGCAATATCTCCTCCAAATGTCCTAACCGAGCTTTAGTCATTAAGAAAAGGAAGGATGTCGTAGGTGAGCCATTAAAAGATCATATCCTTTGTTGAGCCATTTCTGTAGGCCATTTATTTATGCTTCATTATGTTTGTATATGGGTTAGCCTAAGTCCCTTGAGTATTAGTTTTGTGTTTTGTCAATTTTATGGTTGTAAATGGAGTTGTAAAATAGTTGATGAAGTTTACCACTCTCTCACCGTCTTCCCTCTTTCTCCTCTAACATGCTCCCTCTCTTCCTCTTCTCTTCTTTTCCCTCTTCCCGTGATTCTATGCTGATGATTGGCATCGTCATTCCATTTTTCATACTTACATCAAGATCAACAATAAGGATTGTAAAATTATTGTGGATAGTGGTAGTTGCGGTAACGTGGTTTTTGTGGCTACGGTGTTATGTCTTGTGTTGAAACCAGTCCTTTACCCTCATCTGTATAACTTCTCTTGGGTTGAAACTTCTATAGCAGTGAAAGAACGTTGTCTAGTGCCTATTCAATTTCCTAAGTATAAACATCACATATGATATGACGTCATTCCTATGAATGCCGAGCACATCATTCTTGGTCACCTTGGTTGTTCGATTTTAATGTGACCATCCATGATCGGTACATTTCACGTTCCTTCATGTTCAATGCAAAGAAAATTTACCTTAATCATTTCCTCCAAAACCTGTTAGCTCGTGCTGGCCGTGAAAATTTTAGAACGTAAAGTATTACATTCGATTAATCCTACAGAATATGAGCCTAAACTCATGGACGATTTAGTTCTGTTTACTGTGGCTATTATGGAGTTTCCGCTAGAATCTCCAATGGTTGTGCCTGTTGAGGTTCAGTTATTTCTTCAAGAGTTTCAAGATGTCTTTCTTGAGGACCTTCCTGATCTGTTGCCTCCTTTACGGGATATTCAACATGTAGATCTTGCTTCTAGATCATCTCTCCCCAATTTGCCTCACAATAGGATGAAATCTACTGAGCATTTTAAGCTACAAAGGCAAGTAGGTGAGCTCCTTCATAAAGAATTCATTCGTGAGAGTTTAAATTATTGTGCAGTCCTCACCCTTTTGATACCCAAGAAAGATAGTTTTTGAATGATATGCATTGATAGTCGTGCCATCAATAATATCACTATCAAATAACGTTTTTCCATCCCTTAACTTGATGATATGTTGAATACGATGGTCAGTGCCACAATCTTTTCCAAGAATAATTTAATGAGTGGGTATCACCAAATTAGATTCTGCCCAAGTGACGAGTGAAAAACTGCCTTTAAAACGAAGGATGGTCTTTATAACTAGTTGGTCATGCCTATTGGACTAACTAATTCCCCAAGTACCTTTAATTCATGGGTAAATTTATTGTCGTCTACTTTGATGACATTTTGTATGCAATAAAACTAAGGAAAATCGAGTTCATCTCACACAAGTTTGTTTTTCACTTCGTGCAACAAGTTTGTATGCTAATGTATAAAGAATTGTTCTTTGTTCACCGATAGAGTTGTCTTCATAGGATTCATTATCTCCACTATGGAAGTATCTGCTGACCCCGCAAAGATTCAGGCCATTGTTGGTTGACCTGAACATAAGACTACATGATGTTAGGAGTTTCCATGGTTTATCCATCTTTTATTGTCGTTTCACTAAGGGGTTTAGCACGATCATTGCTCCTATCACAGAGTGCACGAATAGGAGAGAATTTCATTGGACATAGAAAGCAGCTAAAGCTTTTAAGTTAATCAAGAAGCGAACGACAGAAGCTCCTATCATGCAACCCCTTGATTTTTCCAAATTTTTTTAGGTCGAATGTCACATGTCAGGGGTAGGAATAGGTTATGTCTTGTGTTAGGAATGTCATCCTATTTTTTTTTAAGTGAGAAATTAAATGAAGCCAAATAACGGTACTCAACTTATGATAAGGAGTTGTACGTTGTTGTACAAGCTTTACCCTATTGGCAGTATTACTTGTTACCTTAGGAATTTGTCCTCTATTCGAATCATAAGGCCCTTCGCTTCCTTAATTCCCAAAAACAGTTAAATTATAGATATGATCACTGGATCAAATATTTTTAGACCTATTCTTTTGTTTTGAAGCATAAAAATGGTGCTGAAAACCAAGCAGCTGGTGTTTTAAGTCATATGAGTGTTAAAGTCATAGGTTTTGAAAGTTTCTAGGAAGAGTGCGAGTTATGTCCCGATTTTAAATTTCTTGCTTTGAAAAATAGGCAGTTGGATACTACTGATGGTTTCCATCTTGAGGAGGGCTATCTTTTTAGATCTAATAAGTTGTGTGTAATGCGTCAAAAATTTATAGGTTTGTATTTTATTATTATTACATAGCTGTAACTAGAATTGCAAAACAGTTAATGAATGACATTAATCATGTTTGGCTTGTTGCCGAGTCTCCCACCCGTCTTCCCTCTTATCCCTCTTTCTCCTCTAACGTGCTCCCTCTCTTCCTCTTCTCTTCTTCTCCCTCTTGCTCTTGCCGTAATTTTGTTATTCAACTTTTTCTCAATTGATTCTACATCACATGCTCAAAACGTACATCCTTGATCCTAGTATTTTAGGAATTCATCTAATAAGTTACAACGTAGTTTAAGCTACGAAGTAGTACCAATCAAAAGTATCAATAAGAAATTTCAAGTGCTCAGGATCAGAGTGATCCCTTTAGTAAAAGTGCAGTGACGTAATCATTCAGCTAAAAAAGCTACTTGGGAACGAGAAGTGAAAATTGGCCAATAGTTTGAGGGCCTAAGTATAGATGAACTTAGTTGGGTAATGTTAGAAATTTATGTATTAATATTGGTCTTAAATCGTAGCCCATAATTAATATGGTACAATAAAACGAAGAAAACATAATTTCAAATGAAAAAGTCTTGTTCAAGATATTAATTGTGCAAAGATCATATGGAGTTTTATTCATTAATACGCATGCCAATGAATGTTAAATGTCAAATCATGGATTGGATGAAATCATGCGTAATTTTTTGTAAATATGTTAATTGGTCATCACTTAGGTGAAACTGATTATAAATTTGTGTGAGGCCCATGATTAAAGATAATTGATTTGACCACATACATTCTTTATACAAATATCAAGCCACGACAACACTATAGTGCCCTACATCAAGTTATTTCCTTCTATTTTTCTACATATGTCCAAGAATTGACACTATAAATAGGAAACACACAATACCACACATAACCACTATTAATTCACATATTCTCTTACCTTTATTACTTTGTATCTCTCTACCTTTACATTTCTTCCCCTCTTCACCTTTAAACACATTAAATATATTATAGCTACACACGCATGAGAACATAGAAGAACGAGCAGCCCAAGTTTCAGTCCAACAATTAGTTTATCGTTTTGATCTGTCCATTGAAATTGTAAATGTGTTATAATGATATTTTTTGTGAGTAATTCTATATGTTATTACATAGCTATGTTTAAGTTATGGTCCACAGGCTGTAAAATTCTGTAAGAACGGACTAGAGTATAGTGGCACTACGAACGAAAATTTGGAACCGTCTATAAGTTCGGTCCAACACACTTATTGAGATTATATTTCACATTATGTTTCTCTCATTTTAGAAAATTAGCTGTTCGAGGCAATAGGTGCATAGATGGTTGTAGTCCTGGGACATTTAAAATAATTTTTATCAAGCAACGTCTATTTATTTTGATTTATATTGAACTCGTTTCTAATTAAGATTACGTTATGGCAAACGTATTTTTAGATTTGTTGCGAATGTCAATCATGATTATTTTTATAAAAAACATATTTATTCTTTTCGGTCTTTTTATTTAATATTATTTAAGTTTTAATAACACTGGAATCATTAAGGATTGAAATCATCACAATTGGTAGCAAAGCAAATGTTTACTTTCCTGTGGACTATGCAATTTAAAAAAAATAAAAAAAATGCACATTTTATTTTTTTTAACTACTCAACTCCTATGTCTAAACCGTTAACTTACATAATGTTCAATTTGGGGTGAGCCTGATCCCATCTTACCCTTTACGAATTTCTATCGTGTTCTTAGGATTCGAAACTAAGACACCTGCCCTATTAGAGACTTGAGTTGAATTCTAGTAACAATTGGAGAACTATGAAAATTACGCGACTTTTTAGGATAAGTTTTTTTCATTACAAACTGGTTCTGCAATTTAGAAAGTTGAAGATGAACTTCTTAAGGAATAATATATTGGAGACTAATACTCTAATTAATTTACCTTGTTTACAAAATTGAATATGATTTTCAGGTATATAAACTACTTTATGATTAACGTACTAAAAAATATGGACAAAAACCAAATCTTCGATAATCAACTCTAGCTAGCTTGATCTAGTGGATGCAGTTGTCAGGGTATAAGGACTATAGCTAGTGCAATTACTATATAGGCTTTCTCTGAACAATTGTTACTAGGATTCAACTAAAATCTCTCATAAGCCAGAGGTCCTAGGTTCGAATCCTGAAAACGTGATAAAAATCTATAACGAATAAAAAGGGTCCATGCTCACTAAGAGCTGACGGAATATAAATTAACGACTTCAACATAAAGATCGAGACGTTAAAAAGGATAGTGCCAAGATCATCTTATGAGAAATCCATGTGTTGTGCAGACATCTGATGCTCGAACTCTTCGAAATGGTCGAAATCCTCGTATTGGACACAACACATGAGTATGGGTGTGTCGGATCCTCCAAATTTCAATCGGACACTTCATTGTTTTTGCTGCTTCTTTAACTTCTTTGTTCTTTTTTTTTTCTTTTCCTTTTCTTTTTTATTTTTGCTCTCTATAAACTTAGCGCCGCCTCCAAGAGGATGCAGAAAGGCGACGGCGCAAGATTTCTCCTTCTTTCTTTCCCTTTTCTTCCTTTTTTCCTTCTTTCCCACTCTGTATCGGTGGTTTAGGGTTTTGTCCAAGGCAATAACTTTCTGAGTGCTTGTTTAGTAGTGCTTTTAAATGTTTATAAGTTGTGGATCCTATGAAATATACGGATAATAAGTATGTTCGACCAGATGAAATTATAAATTAAGCTTTGCCAAACATGCTCTGAAATTCAATTTTGAACACAGAAACCAAAGAAATATTCCAACATCCAACATCATATCTAAAGTAGAATTCGAATCAGTCTTCTATTTTTAGTTTCATGTGATGGTAGTCCATTTGAAGGAACAACCAATTGATTAGAGCAGTCCATTTTATTCATGAAACCCCAGTACCAGACTACAATCAATTGAGGGAGGACTTCTAGAAAAATTAATTGGGCCAACTCCAAGTATATACTTTCTCCAGCACTTTGTGGAGTTGAATGCAACCTAAAATTCTTATGCTTAGCTTCTAATATGCTAGAATCGATTGGAAGAAGATAAAAACAATTGACAGAACAATAGCAGGTTTACCAAGTTTGCAAATAAGTCAACTGAACATAAAGAAACTGACCATAATTGAATCAATTCCACATCCAATCTTATCTTCCGAATGAGGATGATAAGAGAGAAGCTTATCTACCACAGCTTTCTCATCTTCTGCAGTAAGACGTTCACCATCCATATACCTGGAAGAAAGATGACAATCAAGGAGCATCAAGTCCATCCATATATAATGCAGGGATGAATTCATTATAAGCTGCAATATATTAATTCTTTTGGGCTGGAAAAATAGTAATAGTATGGATATGTGCTATTAAAAAAACTGAGCAGAGTTCATAATAATCTAGAATAGAAATATGAATGTGGTATGTGGGTGATATATGGGAGGGAAATCATAATTTGAATTTCCCAGCTTCCAGCATTATAAACCTGAGAAGCATTCTCGTTTTCTGCAAGCTATGATTCTTGTTGTTTTTGGATGTTTGTCCGGCTACCTTCTCATCATCATTATATATTTCTTTGTCCATTTAAATTTTTCAGAACAGCAGTTGAATTCAGGCCAAACTTTACCAGTCCAAAATGTCAGTACACACCATAATTAAAACATTTTCTCTTCACACTATGATCTTCATTTGATCCAGTATCACTATCTGGTGAAAATTCACAATATGTGGCATTAGGGAAGCGGGAGAAAAGGTGGACCATGGGGTATCAAGTCACTTTGCATCTTTTTTAGGCATTAAGAAGATAAAGTGGGAAATAAACTACGTTTTAACAGAGCGTTTCCATTTGGCGAAGTGAATTTAAAGTTCAACCAGTCTAAAACAGATGTGCTAACATCCAAATCTAACAGTAATAACTAGAGATCTAAATCATCAAGACTAAGCCTTTCAGAGAATTACATTGTCATGTATAGCAGTGATAAAAGGCTACTCTCTTTTTATTTTTATTTTTTATTTTTTATTTTTTATTTTTTTCCCACTGCATCATTCATAATTATAACTAGTAAAACAACCTATAACAATCTATACGAAATATCTAAACAAAATTCACCATGAGGAAAAAGAAATATAAATTGAAGTTTAAAATCTCTCTCCAAAAAACTGCATTTTGGCATAGTCAAGTTTGCTAAGGCAAGCATAAGAAATTACTAATACGACACCTAGTTGCCAACGATGAATCTCTGATATTCTATTTTAATTAAAAAATAAAATAAAAGAAATTAATTAATCATCAAATAATATTCATAAATGATATAATGATGTGTTAATATTTTTGTTCTGCTAATCATAAACAGATATTATATTTTGGAAAAAGCTCGAGTTACAACAACTAAAAGCATGTAATGTCTAAGAAGGATAGAGAAAACTGAAAATGGACAATAATTAAGAGATAGTTTCCTGAACATAATATGTAAGCTAAAAACATAATATTTTATTTTATTTTCACTCTGTACACCCATGTTATTGGCTGGAAGATAACATTTTTTTTAACCAATTTTCATATTCCTACACACTTGAGTCTTTTATATATTTCATGGTTGTATATAAATCATTTAGCTCCCATTTGATTCCCATTCTTTGGTCATAAAAATGAAAAATATGACCGTTATCCATCACATCAAGCCATCACATTTGACTTTCTATCTCTTGTGTGGGCCCGTAAATGCTATATTTCTCATTCTCAATCTTATAAAAATGGGTACCAAATGGGGCCTTAATGGTTATTGCAGATTCCCAAGTTGCTATTTACAGTTGAGGAAATTTTACGTGTATCTACCCTTCATGCCTTCAATTTGCAACACCTTGCTGACCAATCTTCTTCTGCAAGTTCTTTACTCAAGGCAGTGTCGAGGCAAATTTAGGTAAATCTCTGATACATAAAGAATTAGAATGGTGGCATCAACTCAATAGGACTCTGGCACACCTGATTTAATTAAACCATTTCCAGAGAATAGACAATATAATATTTTGGATGGAATGAAATTGGTTTGTAAAAGTATTAGTAGCTCCCAATAATTGGTCTCTACACGTAGTCATAGTAGTACTGCATAAATATCAAATTGTAAAATATCAAATGTAAAAGCACTATTTGTAATCAAGTGGCGCATCCAAAATTACTGGCAATAAACTATATAGGCTATATTTCGTACAGCAAAGTATCAACATACAGTGATACTTTTTATTGGTTCACTTGAGAAATAACAAGTTCTTAATTTTCGTAGAAACAAATGATCGATTCTCCAAGGTTTACTTACCTGACGACTAATTTGTGCTTAATTCCAATTGAATGCGTGGTAATTTATGGAAACTCAGGAATTTTGTCCTAATCCTATCTTCCCAGAGAAAATAGAGCACTTGCTTCTACAGCTGGGATTACGCTTTTTAATGAGGAAAGTGCCTAGCCTGGAATACCATCTCTAAGACAGAAAGTTCCTTGCCGAAAGAAATCCAAGTTTCTCTCAAATTAAAACAAAAAGGCAGAAGAGGAGGGTTGATTTACCGACAAGTTCTCTGTTTCAGAAGAAGACTCTAGGAGGACTGTCCAGCTAGTTCATAACAAAATGTTAGACCAAGGCTGACACAACCGAATTGGTTGAGGAAAAGGAAACCCTAACGACCAAGCACTCCCACCCCAGCCTGCAGCCTACGACAGAAATTAAGTTAAGTTAAAGCAAGAAAATGAAAATTCTCGTCATACAAGTTACATGCGTATTGCTGTTAAATTCAACTAAGTCAGCACTGTATTACTTTGTGGATTGCATTTCACTTAACCATCAATTCCGTTCCATGTGCTCAGGGTAGACGTCTTGTACAAATGTATTTATACCATCACATGAAGTCCAAGATGTCAAGCCCTGCAATTATTTTGTGGATTGAACTTCACTTGACTGTCTACAATTCCATAGCTTGTGCTCGCGTAGACGTTTTATGTAGATTTATCTAATCCATCTCACAGAGACGAATCTCAGGTCTGGCATCAAATGGAAATTGGAAAAGCTCCATGATTTGACCCCTAGTTTATGTATCTCATAAACTAACATGGAATTCCTTTCCATATTAACATTGGCCTAACATCATGATGAAGACTCAATAGTCACTGAGTAATTATATATATTCCACAGTTTTATGAGAATGTGCACATTTCAGTCCCCTAATGTGGAGATTGTATGAAACTATAAAGACGTCATTGATAGAGTGCATAAGATTGCATTTTTAATGCTGAATGCTCATGATTATTTGCTAATATATAAGTATATTTGGGATTAATAATGATATTTTTCTATAGTTGAATGATGGCCAATGCTAATTATGGTGTTTACAAGTTAAATGTAGAAATGAAGCCCAAAAATAACAAAGCTCAAGGCCCATAAGAGAGGACCCAATTCAAGTGGAAGTGAGCCAGCCCATTTAGAAGAAAATAAATTGGAATGAAGGGAGCAAATCAGTGGAAGACCCTCGGCTGTGAAGAAATCCCGAAATTGGAAGAACATTTGCACTGCCTTTAGTATTTTCACCATGTCTCCCTCATCCGATATTGTATTGAGCTGATTCAAGAGGCCTTGGAAAGCTAACGTAACGTGTTACAATTTCTCCTTAAATAGAGATTTTGAAATTCCCACGTTTTCCAAGTGAGAAATGGCCCACAATCAAAGGCTGAAAATCTGCCAAATTGACGAGGCGAATTCAGGATTGATTTTTTTCTTTCCTTGTGAAGATGGCTTGAAATAGAGCAAGGATAAAGAGTTATGGGGGGGGGGGGGGGGGGGGGTTCCGTTAAGTTTTTCTTCAATTTTAGCATGGATTAATTTCTATCTTCAAGAGTTTGAGATGTAGCCTAATTATAATTATGTGAATCTTCCTAACTTGAATTAATTGGTATTTGTTCTGATTCTTGAGTATTTCATTCTGGACTTAATGCTTGTAAACGATTGATCACCGTTCACTTGAGTTGGGATTCAATTTGAGACAGAGAAGTAATAATTGTTTCAACCTATGTTTGAGATACAACAGGGATTCTGTAGGATAGAGGTATCTATGGACTTGTGTAATCTTTATAGGTTTTATCTTTGTTCTTAATGAATGTTGACAGGTTTAGAATTTTCACAGAGATGTAGAAAATTTTCTTGCTGAGATATTTCGTTAATGCTTGAGAAAGATTAATGAATATATTAGAGACACTCGATTATCAACAATAAGGAACACTTACAATTAATTCAACTAGGATATTCACATATGAGTAATTATGGTGAATCAAAAACTCTGAAATCTTATTTTCTTGATTTTTACTTGCTTGTTCAATTCTTGTCAGTCTAATCTTTCTAGTTAAATAATTCATTTACATTCGAATTGTCAAATAGATCGTCATTTAATAAATTTTGATACTTATTTATAATTTTTCATTCCTCGTGGGACGATACTCTTACTCATTCACTTTATTACTTGTTACGACTCGTGCACTTGCGAATTCAACTGACAATCATATACCTTGAACACCAGTTTAAGTGTTATCATATCATAGATAATCCTGTTAAATAAGCCATAATTCATTTTGTTTAATTGAACCTATAATTTAGTGCCACTATAACTGCACTAGACTAGTGTTAAACACAAGTGATACTAAATAACATTACTCTTAAACAAACTTAGGCCATAGAAATCGGACATATCAGATAGCAGGTCACAAACCCATGCTAGACACACATGCAAGACAGGCACTATAATTTTCACTCGAAATAAAAATTGTTTCTGTTCTTTGGTTGATACACTGAACTGTGAAAAGTGAACTTCTTTTGCCTCCAAATATGTGAAATATAACAAAGAAACAGCTTCTTCTGCATCATTTTAGGTACTACTACGCTTGCTACACTGTCTTCCATACTCATTTTTCCTCTACTAGGGCATTCTCTTTCATCATGTCAATGTATACACTATTGGGTAGCATTGTCAACACAAGTTATGCTTCATAGCGATAACACCATCCATTAAGATGTCTCTTGTGTGGGGAGGAAGGAAAATATCATTCAACAGCTGGTTTTGCACGAGGGCCGGAAATTGTCGCCAAAATGTTCATAAAGAAAGGCCCTGTTAATGGTACAACCATTCACAGAAGATAGTATTGTAAATCAAACACATTCCCATTGGCTTCAAAATAAGAACATTCATAGCATGTTTGGTTAAGCTTAAAAATCTCATTATTTTAAGTAAATCACTAAGCTATAAAGTAAATAAATTTTTATGGTCAAAGTTGAAAATAAGTTTCCTACTTTGACGTTAATGTACTAGTCATTTTAAAAATAGATAACAACTAAGATAAAACTAACTTATCCAAAGAGTCTTAAATCCAATCCAAATCATGCAGGATTCGGATAACCTCCTGCAGAGTTCTAAATCCAATTTACAGGGATTTGAATAATCCAATTTAGCTTATAGAAAAGACTCCAATGGAGATACAATTCAATCAGTTTACTGGTTAGTAGAAAATAAGACATATCTTTCGCCATCTGCTGTACAAGTTTCATAAGAGGGTTCTTCAAGTGTGGATAGTCATGCTATTTGCTCGTGCTTGAAAACATGAACTACACCTACACAGTGAATATTGTGGGTTATCGAGGGATATTATGTTTATAAACAAACTTTGGTTGCTTTAAAGCAGAGGCAAACATGCTCAGAATACAATCATTTCAGTAGTTAAATCTTAATGGAGTTTCAAGAGCGGCCTGACTAATTTGTTATAACTTTATGAACCCATATTTTTCGTACCAAATATCTAATTAGTACCACAAATTCTTACACACAGAAAATCCCAAAGACACATAATAAGAATAAAAAACTCAAAAAATATAAACATAACTTATTAAAGATTATAACGAATGGAGGAGAGGAGGAGCAACCTATTACCTATCAGAGTGGAGGATTTCTTTGGTGAGGCAAATAATGGGCTCGATATCTTCCAGAATTTCTGCTTCTTTCTCTTTCCATTTTCGGAAATCGGAGTCGTCCCATTTTGAGTACTTGGGGTCTTCAGCGCTCAGTCCAGTGTTGATCTGGCTCGAAGAGGATGAGTTCTTGTCAGTCGGAGCTGACTCGGCGGCACTGCACCAGGGCCGACGTGTTATTGACCCGGCTGTGAGTCGAAAATGATGTTGGTGGAGTAGTCGGACGCGAAGAAGGGGTAGAGCTCTGAGGAGCGTTGCAGCCATTCGTTCAACCATGGAATGCGGGCACCCCTAAAAAAGCTTGTACCTTTTCTCCCCCAATCCTCCACTTTTTTAAAACATAGGATAAGAAAATATCAAAAGTGCCACTCGTATAGAATTTTTTAACATTGAAAATTTACGGGTGTTGAGTTGACAATTTTTATTGATAGGTTTATCCTTAATTTTTGTTAAAAAAAAAAAAAATTGACAGGTTTATCTTTAATTTTTGTTTAAAAAAATAAAATAAAAATTTGACAGGTTTATCTTTAATTTTTGTTAAAAAAAAAAAATGGTGTAAAATCTTACCAAATCAATATTCTATAACCTCTTGGCAGAATGCACAAGTAGCATCTATAGAAAAATATTATCCTTGCTTCTATCTTAATTTTTTAGAGAATAATATTACTTGTACATAAAGAATTAAAAAAATTTACAGATAAATTAGATGTCAAAAGGAAAAATGTAATTTTTTTTATTTAGTTGAATTTTTTTTGATTTAATCATATATCACTACATCATGTATTTGTAAACGAATCTATAAGTCGTGATCTATACGTAACACATCCGATTTTTAGATTACTAGATGAATTGTGTTTGGAGTTAATTGCATAAGCGGTCCCAAACTTTCTCATTTTCACAAATTTTACTTTAAACATCACTTTGTGTCGTCCACAATCCCAAATCTTTCATTTTGTTATAGCACAAGAACAAATGGATGGATCATTGATTGAGAAAATATATTTTGACCAAATTAAGACCAATTTTAAAAGTATATAATTGTAAATTTTCATTCCCAAAAAAAAAAAAACAATTATAATAATAAAATCAAAAGCAAAAAAGCAACATTTTAAAATTGAAATCTACACCCGCCACAGTCCCCAAAGTTTATCTTCTACCTCAAATTCAACTTTTCATCACCCTTCATCCTTCCATCCCATCCCTTCCCTTCCCACTAAATCAATACCAAATCAACCCAACCCCCACTATTGCTGTTGCCTTCTACGGTCACCACCACTCGCTGCCGTAAGAATAGTAAAAAAAATGGAACCTCTACTTTTTCAACTTCGTGTCCT